AATAATATGAATAATATGATAATAATAATAAGAGTAATAATAATAATAATAATAATAATAATAATAATAATAATAATAATAATAATAATAATAATATGATTATTATGTAGCTAATTGAAAATTTTCATATGCTTCTGTCACTAATCCAAAATCAGTGAACATTTATTTGCAGTTCATAATATATCACGAATCGATTTAATGAAGTGTAAACTCACAAGTAATTTGATAATAATAATATGATTATTCCGTATAAAACAACAGATTTCATATTTTTGTTACAACTTTTTAATAAGATATTTATGGTCGTTTTATTTCATGACATTTTATAGTCTAATTTCTATCTCTAGAACATGCTGTCAAAACCTAATCGCTAAACTCCAGACACCCTGTATATAAGGTTCTCGTTCACATTTTCAGCAATCTTCAATTTCAAGTTCAATTTCAGTACGCGCGGTTTCACCAATAATTTATAACCTTAATCTTGTTAGTCTGTAATATTTTATAGATTTAAGTTGCATTTGAAATGTTCTATGTCTACGGGAAGAACAATTGTATGTGACCGAAGATAATCGATGATAAACATGCGCTACGAAAATTATAATCCTACTGTATACTTTCAAGTGCTTAACCTCATAATTACGTTTTATAATATACCAGCAATTACAACCCAAAAAAGTAAGCAATAATTAATATTTTTTCTAGTCGTTAGAACCTCAACATTTAACTACAGTATTCTTTGTTAACACAAGTATTCTAGAGATTTTTACTTTTGACACAATTTTAATGGTTTTATACGAGAAGTGATTTAAATTCTTTGTCAGTTAATTTTTTCTTTATTCTTTGAAGCTCATCAGCATTTTTCATTTAGGAAACGAAAATTTTTCTTTATTTAATAAAGGAAAATCAATCTTTTTTGCGTTCTGCAGTGGATGAAAAAATACATTTCAATGTAATCGAAGCATCCTTTCTATATAATAAAAAACGTGGATGCTCATAAAACATTTACAATTAGGGTAATCGAAATTCCCAATTTTATGTCCCGAGTTCTAATTTGACATCCCGACATTCTCAAAATGTAGCACTGGTAGTTCACAGTAAAACTGTGAATTTTACACATTCGTGGTCAAAATGAGCGGGTTCAATTTAAAACAGCATTAAAATTAGAATAAGTAAAAAATACCAGTGTATTATTTTCAATTTGTTAAAGTTATTAAAGAAAAAATGATATTCCTTAATGACGCCTGTTTCTTGCGAACAGATGCAGAACATTTTTATTTTGCATATAAGACCGCAGTGTAAGAATATTAATTTAGGTTTATTATTTTACACAGTTGTTATTATCTAGTGTTGAAACATTGGTATCATAACGGAAAGAGAAGTTTGGCTATTCTAAGTAAAACACGCGTGACTTTTCGTGGCAAAAACTATTACATACTTGTTTATTTCTTTTCTGACGCGTCATGCACTCATCGCCGATATTCAGTGGTGTCGGTCTGGTCATAGTATTCAAGGGAGCATTTGATAGAAACCACTGAAAATTAAAATACAGTCAGTGCCTAGAATATTCGGATCGCATTCGGAAGAATTTAAAATTGCAAATTTCGCAAAAATTTGTTTAATCATTGTTTAGTAAATTAATCCTTCTAACATCTCAAAACAACTTAAGTGACCTGATTCAACTTTTAAAAGTGGTTGCTATGTTTAAAAAGGCGCCTGAATATTTTCGTGAGTGACAATATGTTGATAAATCTATTTTAAACAATTTACTGAACCAATCTGATTAATATTTAAAATTGTTAAAATGTTCTACTACACTATTAAAGCATCTAAAAAATATTCTCTTGGTTATGTGTAAATAATATTGCTGTAACGGGTTATGCGCCAAAGCTGGTATTCAATATTTCTGTGAGAACCACATTATGGTAAAGTTCCCTCAAAATTGTTAGTTACAATTTCGTAAATAGCTACTTGAAAATTTTCATATTGCTTTTGTAACTAATCCAAAATCAATGAACATTTATTTGCAGTTCATAATACATCACGAACCGATTTAATGAAGTGTAAACTCACTCAGATTGGAAGGGAGTATAGAGGTTTGATAGCAAAAACTGTCGGTGACACTCCATGTCAATCTTGGTCTGCTGAAGAACCAATTCACGAGGTTTAATTTCTTACCTAACAGCGCAAATTTATATTCCTGTTCATTCTAAAATAATGTTGAAGGAAGAAAGTTTAATTAACTCCAATAGATATTATAACGAATTGTAAATTTAATAATTTTCTACAGGATGGTGCAATCAAATTTAATATTTGCATCCTCGTTATTTTAACAGATATTAATCAACCAAAGTTAAACACGAATTTAGTAACGAATTTTGCTTGTATTACAATCGGAGAAATTTTTGTTCGTTGAGTTTTTATGCCAACGATTAATTGTTCTAGAAAATAAACTGCTTAATTTACACATTAAGAATACGAGAAATACAATATGAATTTTATTTTGTAATTCTCCTCGCATCGTTAGATCAGCAAAGATATTCACGATGACGACTTTCCTGAACGGTCGATGAAAAGTGTCAAAAATTACTGTCGAAATCCAACAGGGGAATCCAGAGGTCCATGGTGCTATACGTTGGATCTTTCACTCATAGATGACAAATGTGATGTACCTCTTTGTAATTTTGGAGGTGATTTTAATAAATACGCTTGCCGCAAAAAACTTACCGCTTCGCGACAAAAAAAATATAGCACGCTATGTAATTTTACTGATTTTCACTAATATAGTTAAGTAATAATAATTTTTACATCGTAGTTTATATCGTAGTTCAGAGTTTACAATAGTAAAAAATGGTAGAAAATAAAAATAAAAATAAAAAATTTTAACAGAATATTACAATAATAATAAAAAAAAATAGGTCTCACTGAAAACAATTATTTAAAAAACCATCCAAGTATCATTCTTCTATGTTTAGTATGTTATGTTCACTATTTAATAGTCTTTAGTAGCTGTATTTTTACATTCTAAGGGTGAACAATTCTCGCTTGTTAAAATCGTCTTCAGTTCTTTCTCTTTTTACTGTTGTTCCCTCTCTTATAACGGTTAGCCTGTAATCATTAATGAATATGCTAACAAGTTACTTACAGAACATGATTCATTAGAATGTAGACAGTCAGGACCAGGTGCTGAATATGGTGGTAACAGACAAATAGGAACATCAGGAAGAAAATGCGTATCCTGGCTCAAGGTTAACAAAATGGAGAAAATGAAAGTAAGGAACGAAATGAATTAAATTATCGCCTTCGTTTTAATTCTAATATTCGGTATACTATGGTAATCACTTCTTCGTATTCGATTTTTATGCAATGTGAGTCGCATAACATGCACATCGCCTCACGAAAAATTCACAAATATTAATAATATAAGTTATTTGCGCAAGGTTTGTGACCCACTCGGTATACAAGGTGTTCTACATTGTAACAGGTAGATGACGATCTTACATCCTATGACAGTTAAGACAGAAATTTGCGGCTTCAACATCATTTTTCACTTATTAATGAACAAATTAAGCCATGAAATTGTCATGCAATTGGTTACTAATTAAGATTTATTTGATTCGTGGATATGCGAATTTTAAACAATTTATTTCAGTTCTGTGTTATGAATATTTTCAATGTTATGAATAGATTGCGGATTTTATGCACTTTAGTTAAAAACGAGTGGACCAATTGCAAAACGGAAAAAAACATTTCAAAAATTCAAATATATTGTTACGTTATTTTTAACTCATTGAAAAGTTATTAAGAAAAGAATTAAATTTTTACGTTACTCCGCCATCTTGCAATTAATGGATGGAATTCTTATTTTGCATAAAGATCCGCAATGTAGTTATGAGAATAATTAACGTTATTCTAAGATGCTCATATTTGTTTAGAATGCGAGGTTCAACGACAATAATTTTCCCGAAGGATCTCGCAAGAAAGCTACCAATTTCTGTAGAAACCCTACCGGTGACAGCGGCGGACCTTGGTGTTACGTTGAACAAGAAGATTCTGAGAATCTCCAGAAAGAATACTGCGACATCTCTTTCTGTGACGCTAAAGGTATTTTATCGATGCATTTGTTTCCATTTCATAATCGATTCTGAACATTTTGCGCTCGAATATAAAAATTGTTATATCACGTTCCAAAATGTTATCAAATTTGTTTATATTTCAAAAACTGTTCGTACACCTTTTAAAATGCAATAACTTTTTTAAAACTGGACTTAAATTCTTTTTAGATGATAGAGGAACCAGTCTACTAGACGCTGACTAAAATACTATTTCTTAATTTTTGCTATTATTTAGAATGACAAAGAAATAATAAAAAAAACTCTCGTTTTATAACTTTTTTATCTGTGTCTCTAACGAAAATGAAAAAATAATGCCTTTCGTAGATCTCGGTATTTTATATGCATGTTGAAAATTTGATCGAAATCGGTTAATAATCTTGCCAAATATATACTCACAAAAAATTACGGCGCAGAAATGTCGAAAGTAAAGGTTGCCCGAACGTTGTATACCATCATGATACAAATTATTCGATCTTTATATCAAAATAAATGAGAAAATACGTTAATTTTTAAACGCGTTTATACAAATTTCGCTCACTGTATTAAGCAAATTGAATGTTACTAGAATTTTTAGGATACGAAAGAGTATTACTAATATTTCCTGTTGTAAATTTTAACTTTCTAGTTTTGATTTCATTAATTAAATGTCTTTGATACATTGTGGGAAGTTTCGGAATTTAATATTTATCGCTTAAAGTGTTGAATCACATTTGTGGTGACGAAGTTTCGATATTCTATTGACGTTTCAGTCATTTTTGTAACTTTTATTTTAAAGATTGATAATGGTAAATGTAACATTAGATTCTATAGCCCTTAAGTCATATTTTGAGATATTACCGAGTTCTTCGTTTCACACTCAAATGCAAATATGTATTACATATTTACTGTATATCTATTAGAATAATAATATAATAATAATATCTATTACATATTTACATATTTACCTTACGTATAGTAAAGCAGGAAGAACACTTTAAGCAAGAAGTAGAACAAGACACCAATGTATGTGTAAGAAAGGATGTAAATGTCTTGTAGCAGGTTTTCACTCTTTCTTGTAATTATTAAATTATACAATATCATTCTAATTACAAGCACAGCTATATGTTCATTTGCAATTTTCTTCTACAAAACTCAACCACATTTTCTATCGTATATTTTACATTTTTTTATTCTATATAATATATATCTTGATTATATGTTAGAACATGTATTTACAGTTTCTTTTTATGTAAATTAATGGTTTTTAATTTATGGAGATAAAGTTTTTCTTCTTTCACATTCATTTTTAGTTTTAAGTGGGTGTTCTGTTTCATCACAACTTAAAAATCTAATTTTCCTTCGTCGCAACTTCACTTTCTTATGCTCAATGGTTTGCTTGGTTTATATTGCAATAATTGTATTTTATTATTATTTCATGTTGCTTCATAAAAATAACAAGGACATATATATTCAGATTTTTCGCGATTTGTATCGCAATATACGATGAAACAAACTTATTGAATAAATTCCCCCTAAATTCCTACTAAATTTCCCCTAAATGTGTTTTTATAATTTCAATAATCGTAAATTAAACAATATGGAATGTGACAAAATTTAGTTTCAAGACTGCTATTGATAATCCCATGCTGTTTTTGTCTTCTGATTTTTTGTTACTGCGTTTCAAATTAAACTGTTCCGTTGTACCATACTCTCCTCTACAGGCGTGCGTAACCGTGTATATGTGAAAGCAAGAAACGTTCTGAAATAGCGAGTGTAACAACGTCGTCATTGTAAGGACACCTTTATGTACATAATTTTACAGATTTTACGGAAGTGAATAATTAGTAAAGGAAAAGCTATAGAAAATTTCTTTATTATAAATAATTAATATTACTGCATTTTATTATATAAATATTAATATGTAAAATAGACTATTCGGTAGGAAACATATTGAAGTATCGATTGACTAATAACTATTTCTTCCCAATTTTCCTTTTGAACATAGAGATTTTAAATAATCTCACAAATGAAGTTACTCAAATGACGAACGAATCATTCAAGATTATTTATTGCTGTTAACGCTAACCGTACCGGGCGTTAATAGTGATTCGTCAGTGTTACCTTATACAAATCACAGCATTTAATTTATTTAGATTTTTTCCAATTTTTATATCAATATACGTTGGAATGAATTTTATTGAATGGTTTCCGATGGATGTGTCTTTATAATTTCAACAATTGTAAAATAATAATTGTCGAACCGGTCATTTAACCGGCGATGGTACGATTAGTGTTAAACATTAATTTTCGGAAGTACAACTTAAAATGTGAATACAATGACTGTATGCAAAACTCCCTTTCAATGTGGCACTCTGTATAATGATAAGAAATTGTAGTTATCAATGTACTGATTAATGTAATAAATTATCTTTCGTCAAGTAATTTTGTAAATATTATATTGGTTTTTGTTTTTCAGAGTGTCTGACATTCACTAAGAATGGATCTCAGTATACAATATTAACAAAATTAGATGCCCCCAGCGGTAATATTTCGTTCTGGATGAAATTGTGGGACCCCAATGGTGAGAAAGACGTAAGTAACTTAAAAAGTGACTCCGGATAATATGTACATTAATTTAATGTATGATTAACAATACAATATAATATAAAACATAGCGTAGAATAAAACGTAAATAAAATTTAATATGCATTATACCATAAAATAAAATAGAAATAGAAAATAATGTAATAAATATAGTATATATTTGTATCTCCATTATCTAAGACTAAGCATTATTCCTAATAAATGACGATACGGTATAGACAATTTTATTACAGCATATGGCAAATTTTGAAATATTATTCGTATATCAGTTTATTTAATAATTTCTGTAAATTCGTTTCGTACGATCTTATAAATTTATTTAACCCTCATCCGTCTCTCATTTTCTCAACTTAACTTCTTCTTCGATGTTAAATTGACACAATGACGAAAAATCAGTAGCAGAGATTAATAGTTATTTATTTTTTAATTATTTTTTATTTATTTTTAGTTCTTTACTTTTTAGTTATTTTTTAATACCTCCTTCAAACAAAACTAAAGAGATGAATTTAAATGAGTTTAATATGCATCGAATTGATTGTATATTGATGTATATCTTGTATTGTCGAGTTCTAACTTGTTTTCATTTAGTTATTTGCAATGGTTATTATGCCTTTATAGGCCGATGCGCGAATTTTACTGAGTTTATTACCAGTACCGGTTACCGCCGAACAAATAGCTGAAGAATGGAGTGCAGGCGTCGAATTGTTTTTCGCAAATTCTGGCAGTGGACAAACTTTTCCCAAATTTGACGTAAGTTGTATCTCTATTTTGAAAAGGATTCAAATTTACAGAATTTAAGAACTTTTTACGCACACAGTATTTCATAATAATAAATTATTCGTGTATTAGGACGAAGAAATTTTTGAGGCTAGTCCGGAAGTTTTGGTTGGTACGAAATGGGTAGGGATTTGGATAACATGGGGTGGCGGATTTGTATCTGCTGGCATTGAAGGCAGTTTGAAGCCTATATTTATGCAAGAATACAAACGAAAACGTGGTATCACAAGTCTGTATCCAGAGACGTTCTTATATTACGGGCTTCGTGGAACTGGAGTTTTATGGAGCACCGCATTTTGCCAAAAACGTATGCTTTGAAATAGTTACGTTACTATTTAAAATGTTGCTCAGAATTTTTCTAACGTCAGCAGCATATCTTTTGTTCGGTGTGCAATGTAAATTGAACATAAAATATCGTGCTAATATAATATATGCTTCAAATTTTATAAAACGTTTAACTATAAAACATTATCTGAAGAAGATCATCTTTCATATATTTGTTTTTTTACTGCAGAAATTCCTCCTTCCTATAAATAATTTAGCAAAATGAAGTAGAGCGGTAGTTTTCTTACTGACTCACCCTGTACATACCCATTTGCTATCCACTTAACATTTAACATCAAATCTATCCATTCGAATTACAGTGGAACCGCGGTTATTCGAACTTTACTTTTCAAAATAGATGTAGAAGGTCTATTTTTTTATGAGATGATAGTAGGTTAAATAACAACAATTTTGTATTCAAGACTAAACGATGCTTCAATTATAGTCGTAAATGTATATTGTTGTTAATGTACAACTCTATATATAATCTAGATTCCTTCCAGAGTGTGAAATCCATACCACGTACGGAACTGATTATTCCAGAATATGGACCATGGAAAAAAATAACGATACAAATGATGTCCGAGCTTTTGTCCGTGCTAGTCAAGACATTCGCATAAGATTATATCAAACACCTAAATTGGAGCATCCATGTGTTACGGTAATAACTGTGTTTCCATAATAAATCATTAAACATTAACTAAAGATTACACGATAAAATGCAAATAAAAATGTTGTTTTTTTTTAGTTAGAAAGAGCATTTCTTTCTTTAATAGCTTTATTAGAATGAAAGTAATAACACTTTTTTATTCTTTCAGTCTTTCCAATGTTTCAGATTGTAGCAATTACTTCGATTGTATAATTACTAACAATTAATTTATACATTATAGTACATTTAAGTTGCCGATTTATGATAATGCATGACGATTAATTTCAATGGCCAAGGATAGTGCAGTTGTAGGTATAGTCCTCACGCGACAAGAACTAGCCGCCCCACTGTCGTAGCTAATAAGAGGGGAATGTAAACACAGAGGTGCCTTCTTGTCGCGTGAAAAATAAATTCACGCGATTTATCTGATACAGGTAACAATAGGCAAAAATATCGCGACACTCACGTATGAAGAAGAAGAGGATTCGACGAAGCATTATTTGAAAGAAATTCCAAGCAAAGGCATTCTTGATTTCTGGTCTTGGAAAGAATTTAGCATCAGGTTGGTAGGTAGAATATAAGCAGACGATTGGATATTAATTGCTATTAATAATCTATACCTTCCAGTATTTTTGGAGAACATTTTCGCTTATTTTATCACAAGGGCAAGGCAGCTATCGAACTATTTTACGTAAACAATAATTTCTTTGCCACTTTAAGATGGTTCAGCATTGGAAGTGAAAAGTCTATAGCGTTTTGGACATTGTTTTGTTCTCCGGAAGGTAATTATAAAATATAGTTACCTATAATTAATATAATTTCGTTATTTTTACAAATTCGAGCAAATCGTGTTTTGCACACATGTTCTACAATACTTATACTTTAAGATAATCCGAAAGTGATTCACCTTTTAAAGGTTCGAAACCAGAATACCCTCTTAATGAACAGTATCAGTGAACTGACTCAGTTAGTTTGTAGTACAGTAATTTATTGTTAATATATTAATTGAATTGAACGAAGTATAGATAGTTCCTAGATCATTTTGTAAATCTTGCTAACTTATACATATACTGTACATATAAGCACTGGTCACTGTATATATAAGTACCAAGACAATGAAGACAAATTTAGCAGCTTCATGAATTGCTCATACTATATTGTCAGCAATAATGTACGTGTTTATTTTATGTTATGAAACATTAAATATTAATACAAATTTTACAGCTACCGATGCTGTGGAAATTCCTTCAGCACCGAACTGTTTATCCGATTTAACACAGTATATGTACCAAGGTGGACAATGGACAAGTGCCAATGAAGTTCCTTGTATTCCATGGAGCTCAAAGGAAGTGAGTAATGTAAAATCTAATATTTAAAGTAACCAAGCCAAAAAATTAATTCCATTCGAAAGCGACTGCAATGAAACAAGAAAAGAAATATTTTAATGTAGAACAAATTAAATCATTGAGAATAGGAAAAACAAGTGTCGATTATAAAAGAAAATTTAAAAGGATGAAGAAGAAAATTGTTATAATTGATGTAGGTAAATTAACGACATGTGTCTGGATACAAAGAGAAATGTATTATGTATTTGATAAACAGGAAGTCATTTTAACAATAAGCAGAAATTCAGGCATTACGATAAAATTAATAAAATAATATGTTCGATTGTTATTTTCTTATCTATTTATATTGTACAATAGTAAATAAATAAGTAAATAAATAATAATAAAAGAAAAATTGTAATACTATACAATTTGTAACGCTGTCACATTGTGAATCATCTTGCTGGATATCTCTTTTTAAATTTATATCTCGAAAATTATTATTGAAATATAGGTCGCACTTACATCATTTTAATGAAGGATTGGTATTTTCAAATACGCATTTGTTTCACTTTGAAATTATTTTTGAAACATGATATCGACAAATAAGAGTACTCAAACAATCATGTCATAACCATTCCAAGTTAGTTAGTAGCAAATGATGTTGTAGACATTATTCCCATTTTATTTACGATAATTCAGTTGCTTCGCTATTATAAATGAATTACTCTCATTTAGTTCATCATGATGCAAACGTTATTGTAGAAGCATTAGCCTAGTCTAATTTGCGAAAATAAATTAATGTAAAATTAGAACATTTTTACTGTGCGATTGCAATAACACTGTATGTTAGGTCACCTAGCCCATAGGTTTCATATAAAATTTATGAATCAAAAATTCTCTTAAATTCTTCTTCTTCTTATGATTAATACTTAAATTTTCTTCTCGTACAGTCATGTCAATGTTAATTATTTCCTATAAGATTCCGATCGAAGAGAAACAGGATGATAAGTTTGTTGATGGATCCGCTTTGAAAGCATTAAACAAGTGTAGAAATCCCGCACGAGATTCGAGTGGTCCTTATTGTTATGCGTTTACACCTTGGGAAACCACGACCATTTCGAAACAGTACTGTCCTGTTCGATTCTGTAGATCCTCAGGTGAAATTTTTGAACTTCTATGCATGCAAGGTCAACAGTAACTACGTTCTCCAATCTTGAAATATTTAAATTTCTCAAATAAATACATAATTATAGACTCAAAGTAACTTTTACATTGTAACGGATATCTAAATGAAAATTTAACAAGATATTATATTTATATATTTCTATTTTTTATTATTTCTAATATATATAAATACATAAATATATATATATATATATATATATATATATATATATATATATATATATTTCTATATAATATATAAATATTATATATTTCTATTTTTTATTATTTCTAATATAGAAATACATAAATATGATATTTTGCTGTCTCTTATACACATCTAGATGTGTATAAGAGACAGATATATTTCTATTTTTTATTATTTCTAATATAGAAATACATAAATATGATATTTTGCTGTCTCTTATACACATCTAGATGTGTATAAGAGACAGATATATTTCTATTTTTTATTATTTCTAATATAGAAATACATAAATATGATATTTTGCTGTCTCTTATACACATCTAGATGTGTATAAGAGACAGATATATTTCTATTTTTTATTATTTCTAATATAGAAATACATAAATATGATATTTTGCTGTCTCTTATACACATCTAGATGTGTATAAGAGACAGATATATTTCTATTTTTTATTATTTCTAATATAGAAATACATAAATATGATATTTTGCTGTCTCTTATACACATCTAGATGTGTATAAGAGACAGATATATTTCTATTTTTTATTATTTCTAATATAGAAATACATAAATATGATATTTTGCTGTCTCTTATACACATCTAGATGTGTATAAGAGACAGATATATTTCTATTTTTTATTATTTCTAATATAGAAATACATAAATATGATATTTTGCTGTCTCTTATACACATCTAGATGTGTATAAGAGACAGATATATTTCTATTTTTTATTATTTCTAATATAGAAATACATAAATATGATATTTTGTTAAGCGACGCAAGAAAGGTATTCGCTAATAATAGTAATAAAATACAAAAATATAACAAAGAAAATTAGTTTCAATGAAATAAATTGCGATTCTTTTTTATGGGTTGGAATGGACTTGGCAACCGAGTGCATAAAAAATGTTTAATATTATATTTTAATATTACGTTCCCTAGAGTGTCGCATGGCTGGAACTGCGAACGATTACGTAGGGACATTGTCGGAAACACGTTCTGGTCTTAGTTGCGATTACTGGCAAACTGATTCTGATTTTCTATCGCAATCGGATCAAAAATCCACGAGAATACCTACAACTTCGCAACGCACGCGAGGACCGCTTGTAAAACCGCACAGACCATTGTCGGACCAATATGGAATGATTGTGTTCGATATGCCAAAAAAGCCGACTACTCCAAAGTACACCGCAAAATTCGGTGTACGTGAACACTTCAACGATAGTATGTATCCGGACGGTGCTGCTAAAAACGCTAGCAATTTTTGTAGAAACCCATCGCGAAATATTGCTGGCACTTGGTGTTACACCACAAACGCTTTGGTGCCGCAAGATCTTTGCAACGTTAGGGACTGTGAAAAACCAGGTAAGCCGCCAGCAGTTTCAAATTGCACTTAGTATTCCCTCGATTAACAAGATTTCGATTTTACGCGGATTTTTTCTTGACAACTATCATTTCTTTACTATTCTTTCGAATCAAGTTAGCGCATCTTAACGATTTCATCTATTATAATGTGCCAACTAATTCCACAAAAATTGCCCTCGCATGCAAGCAACAGCGGTACCGAATTAAAAAAAAAATCAGAGCTGGGTAACATATACGGGAAAAACATTTTAAATATTATTTTAAATAATAGGAATAAGTAATCAAATTTCAGTAAATAAAGTATTTTATTTTGATAATCTAAAACATAAAATATTTTATATTGATAATTTAGAACATAAAATATTTTATATTGATATTCTAAAACGTAAAATAAAATACGTTATTTTGATAATTTAAAATATAAATTAAATATGATATATTTGATACTCTAAAGTATAAAATAAGAATACATACACAGATTGAGGAGCTACTTTTTGCAAGTATGTATTACGATTTCTTATGTTCGAAGATTAGCTCTCTTCATAATACATTTTGTGAAGAACTGTATCGTATGTATATTTGTAATACAGTGAAACAGTACTTCGCTAAATCTTCCAAACTTAAGCAGAAATGACTTTAATATATTTCAAATAAATTTAAACAGTGCTTATAATAAATAAAATATTTTGTAGTCGAAAGTATAAATTTTTGAAAAAGTACAATATCTTATTTTCAAAAATATATACACAAGGTAAAATAAAATATTTATTTACTATCTATGAGTTAAAATAGCATTTTACCCAGTCCTGCGCATAGTAAAGCAGATTTTTGTGATAAACTGTATTTTGTACGAAATAATTATGTCGCGACAGTAAAAGATGCAAGAAACTACATACAACACATGGAGGAACTCTAACTATTTCTATAATTAATAGACAAATACTTCAACTTCAACTACTAAACTTCAACTTTTGCAACTAAATGTCTTGTTACATCTGGTTATTTTATATCTTAGAATCGAACTACATTCTGTTTCATTCAACATCTTAATTTCCGATACACTATTCGTCGTAACATTTGGAGGATAACTATTGTATATAATTTCTAGAAGAGTATATAATTCTTATCAGAGGCGATGCTGCAGGAAGGCGTTTGTATGTTTTACCCGAATATCGTTTTGAAGGATTCCGATTTGCTGTTAAAACTTGGGAACCGGATCAACCAGATTGCATTGTATTTGTCTTTACAGCTGACGACGGTTTTAAGTCACGTTATATTCTAAAAATAGGAGCTTTGAACAACGAGAAAGTGCTACTTTATTACGAGTCGGAAACTCAAGGTAATCATAACGCTATAGAAGATGCCCTAAAAAATGTTCTACGCTCTTGAAAGACGAAAGATGCTATTTGAAGTAATGATTAAAATTAGAATACTTTATAGAGAGTTGTTTAGAAATTTTTATTTTCAGCAAAAATTGATGCTGAAGAGTCCGTATTGTTCTATTAGGTTGTGTTACGTGAAATGTCGGACTCTTTAAAGAAAATTGAAAAATTGTCTTTTTAATTCAAACAAAAATTTATTTATAAAATATGACACATCCCCCCGTTTGTACACACTTTTGTTGACATGTTTCCGACGAATGAATAAAACTTGTACATATACAATGATTCGCATTAATATTCGGACACTTTTTAAAAGAAAATAACTTTTTAAAAAGTGAACGAAATGATTTCTTTTTTATGTTAGAAGAACTAGTTTACTGAGCAGTGTCTATAAAATTTGATTTTTAAATTGCAACTGGTTGGAATGAAAAAAGAATAAGAAAATCGCATTTTTGCTTGTAACTGATTCTTTGAACGTTCAATTTACGACTGAAAGTTTACTTTTTATGTGACACAACCTTATTGTAGTTTGATGGAATTAGGAAACATGGATGTGAAGTATTCGATATTTGAGAAGAGAACTATTTGGTTTATGTAATCGTGGCAGAAATTAATCAGTTTATATCATTGTTCTATATTCTTTTGTCAAGAAAATGAAATCAAATGAGGGTGGCAGAAATTAATCATTTTATATCCTTATTCTACATATATTCTTTTGTCAAGAAACTGATATCGATTGGAGACGATCAATTACACCTATATTGAATAATTTCGATAAAATTTTAACCGTATTCATAGCCGTTGAATTGGTCAAAATGAAAACTTTACCGCACTTGCTGTTTTTGGGAAAATGGAGCACATTTACAATCAGTATTCCTCGAGGACAAATTTTACTTTATTACGAAGAAGAACCTACACCATTGTTTCAATGGAGTCACAAGGATCCACCAACGACTTTTCTGCCAATATATTATTACTATAGCAGTGAAAAAGGACGAACTGTTGGTGTTGCGTTTGACCAAGATTCAGGTAGATTTTAAACACATTATATCAAAACTATTTCAACAAAAACACAATATTGTGTGAGATCTTTAGGTCACGTAACACGTTTAATTAATATGCAAAACGAATTTGTTACGTTTAACGCTAGTTTTACCAAAGGTATGAAAAACTACTTTTTAAACATTTTTTTAAATTCGAGCCAACGCTGAGACTTCAAAGTACGTCTTTTAAAATTTTTATTCAAACTTATATTCTGAATTTAATCACTTTCCAAATTTTGAAGAAAAAAAACTAAAAATTAAGTTGGTTTTAGAAGACCGCAAAAACGTAATTTCAGCAGTTTTACTTATTTGTTAATATTTTATATCATTTAGATACTTGTTAAAAAACGAAAAATAACGATACTTCTTGTATATAATTTACAATTTTGTTCCCCTCGCGATAGAATCGAGCTAAAAATCCTATTCCGAACGTGTTGCTTGCATTTAATCTTCGAATAATTTTTAATTCTAATAATAGGTTGCCCTCTTGAAAACACGAAAACAGATCGGTACGCTAGAATTTTGTCAATATCAGCGTGGAGCAAAAAAGAGGTGTTACGTCCGGAACAGGTAACATTTCATCTACGCGGAGAAGGCAGAATTAACATACCTCTGCTTATGCTACCTGCAATTCCAGGGTAAAGATTAACTTTCCGGAAAATATTTAGAATTAATTATTACGGCGCCTTTTAAAATTATCAATATTTTTAACCATTCACTTTAAGAGAAACTTCGTCTATGACCTTGACTTTGATCTAGTATATTTCCGAGGTCATGAGTCTGAGTAATCTATTCGTATAACATAACCGCGCTTTTAGTTATAATTTATGAGATATTTCTGTGGTTCCACAATAAAGAACGCCGCATTTCACATGTCTACATTTTCGAGATCATCCATTCCTCAAATCAGTAGTATTTTATTTTTAGCCCATCGAATTTCTTTTCACTAAATTTTTGGAAATTTTACACAGACTAATATTTTTATTGTTAAGAAGGTGAATCTATAATCCAATTTTCGATCTAGCAGTTGTTCAAACTGTTTGCCTTCGAACGTATTTCAGAAATTGATTTCAATTATATAACGATTAAACTCGCTTAGCAATTAAACTTCAAATTAAGTTACCTAAATAAATACCCAAACCTATTTCGCGGTTAGCGGTTATGTTGGCGCATCCAACGTTCGGTTGTCGCGGGGATGTATATTCATTAGAGGCGTGCTAAAGTTAGGAATCGTAAGCGACCCGACGTTAGATTTTGCTAAAATACATAGTATACATAGGTATTACAAATTCTAACAAGGCTCGCATTTTTACAGATTTTATGCGTTAACATTTAGCGAAAAAGATCACTGGATATTGTTCACGAAAAATGTGTATCCTAATGTAACAATCTATCATAGACAAAAGATATTCGTACCACTATTTACGACTAACTCGTGGACCAATATAACTATAAGGTAAGATTTCGAAGGACAGCAAGTGCAACTAAATGGAACGAAAAATATTCTTTAACGTCATATTATTAATTTAATTAATTAACGTCAATCCACTTCGATTTAATTACACGTGTAACATGATAAACGTAATTTTAGTCTATTTATTATTTAGCGGTTTCATGTAATGCATTGTAATCGCTATAATAATTATTGTTGAGTTTATATACAGCCGCACATGAAAATATTCGAGTACCACCTAAAACTTTCTTAAAAATTGGACCAAATAACTAAAATTTTATTGCGATATTAGGGAAAATGATTATATAATAAACATATAAAAATTATTAAATAAACTAATTATTACGAATTATCTTATTCGTGTAAAGTAATATATAAAGTAGCTGCTTTTAGTGCTCCGTAAACCTAATGTTCAATAGCACCTAAACAGACAATATTAATTCACACGCGATTCTTGTAAGCTTCTTCTTAAAGGTTCCTTTGATATCGGATTACCATAGACACGATATTCTCAAGAGAATACTTTCATATGAAAAATTACTAATTCAAATATGTCACTTTTCCATACTAATTTATGATTTCGTCTCTGTTCAAGGTGGTCTGGAAATATTATCAATGTATATAGTAATAATACAAAAGTGTTTCATTACGAGCACATTAGCCCCCTTTTGTTTTATTTCTTCTCGGTGGGAGTTGATCCTGGCGGGTGGGTTACTTGGTCTGTAAACTGTTTACCGATGGGTAAGAGCAATTGTCTTTCAGTAGTGCTTGAGACCCTTGTACTGTAACGAGTCAGCCTCGCGACGAAGATTTCGTACAAAATCTAATATTAAATATGAATGTTTCGATTTAGAAGAAATTAGTAACAAATTTCGATTCTTCTGTTATCGAAATTTAGGAAACGAATAAAAAGTCATAGAAATAGCAAAAATTGTTTCGTTCTATTAGGCGAATTATTAACACATTTCGTGTCGAGCTGTTTTCACTCGATTCTTCGCACTGGCCATTTGATATTTTACTAAAACTTAATATATTATATGTAATTATTAATTATCGTATACATAACAATAAAACAAACTTATTATGGCCCATCTTTATGGTGGAAATTACGTCTTCAGTTCTAAATTTGCTACGAACTATTTTTTTAACGCGTTAAATAAACATTTAAGCATATACCATTAATGGTACACGTGGCACGAAACGTGTTAAACACGAAGAATTGCTGGTCGACGTAGCTGCGAAAGAAATTGTAGTGCAAGAGGTCAATGTCAAACACATGCACATTTTGTATCACATAGTTACATCAGTATTTACAGATATAGATGGACCTCCAATCGATGGTGGTTGGTCAGAATGGGGGCCGTGGGCATGTAGCGCAAGCTGTAATGGTGGCACAGGTACCAGAAAACGACTTTGCAATTCCCCAGCACCCAACGTCAAAGGTGAACCTTGCGTAGGGCCGCATACTATGGTTGGTCGTTGCAACGAGATTCTCTGCGGTGATGTAACGCAAGGTAAACATGAGCACGAAAATTCCAAAAGAAAGAGAAGAAGAAAACATTTTAAGGAATAACACTGACAAGGGGAACTTACGATCTTGGAAATCACTTTTGCATCGAGAATAGGTTAAAGATATACCTAATATCAAAAAGTAAAGCACATACCTAATATCAAAAAAGCCTAATAGAAATTTTCATAATGGGCCTCCATTTTGCCGATATCTCGATTTGAAGTTTGTACACAACTATATGGACGACATTATTATATAATAATTATTACATAATGTTAATAATAATAGTAATATTACAAAATAATGTTGTCCGTATGGTTGCGCACGAACTTTAAGTCGAAATATCTCAAAAATGGAGGCGCGTTTTAAAAAATCCTATCAGAGTTTTTTTTGACATTAGGAACGTACTGTGACTTTAATCCAGTCTCGTTTCAAAAGCGCTTTCCACGATCGCAAGTTCCCCTTGTGAGAAAAGATAATATATAACAAATCAATGACGAATGTAAATCGTGTTTTTGTAATAGATACCTTAACTCTAATTAACCGAAGAATCCGAGCAAATAACACGGCTTTGACTGTGAAAGAATTTCATTCCGTAACAATTATGTCGGACGAGGACATCATTGAATTGATCAGTAAAGAATCCCCTCATTCTGAATTGCAGTGGTCCTTAAACGGCATTTTTGTGCAGGAGGAAACGGACAGAGTGGAGCTAAAAAATGATAATATCGGTATGTCGGAATGTCTTACAGGGGTATTCTAGCGTGAATCTTTGGAGAAATCCATTTTTTTAACATCTTCTTGGAGAATATAGATTGAAAAATACGTCTACAAAACCTTGACTCTGAATTCTTAAAATTAAAGAAATGACAGCTAGTTGATGGTTCACAATATGAATATAATTAGTATTGGTATACAAAACTTTAAATGTGTTTTTCTTGGAAGTATGTTTTTCAAAACGGTGACTATGATATCTTAAAATCTTCTGAACCAATTTCTTTCAAAATTTAGGTGCACATTTAGTATACTTGTCTCTACAGCTCGTAGTATAATCAACTAAAAATTTCTATTTTTTACATTTCTTATGCTCCTAATGAAAAAGCAATAAGAAAAATCGGTAATCAAATTTCAAAACTTCTTTTTCTTTTTTTCTAATACCTGCTACAGCCAAACTCATGCTAATCAAAGACCATACGTTTTTTCATTTGGAATAGACAAAATGGCCGCAATCATGGTCATCATTTGACGATCTTTTTGAAATTCGTCTACGTTTGATAGTAGCCAATGCCAACAATTGTAACTTTTTCTAAATTAGAACATTTTTAACTGGTATTGAAACATGCATAAACAAACCTTGTAAATGTGACTACAAAAAGTGTTATAGTTTCTTCGCAAAAATAGTTCCAAAGAAAGTTAAAAAAGCACACAATTACATTAGAATACTCCCTTAATAGCTTTAAACAAATTAGTTTTGCTGTTGTTTTATCTTTACTGGAAATATATGCACAGTATTTTTTCTAATTTTACTTATGTTATTACACAAGTTAGACATACCGTTTTTTTTTTTAATAACATTATGCAGTGAGTAATTCCTAAAATGCGTATTTAAAATCCGCATAAAGGTTGACGTTTTCTCTTTCGCAGCATAATTTACGCGCTAAACATTAAGTATGACAAACGACTGATTGTCGACTTAATTAGTCTGGTGAAAATATTCTTGAAGTTTTGCAAATGCCATCCTTATCATACAAGACCGATTATAAAATCACAAATACATTGATGGGCAAAATTACTCTTTTAGCTGTGGACGACGTGTATACACGTCATAAGGATACTTCTCCTACGACTTGGGTTAAAATGCCTGTGGAACATGTTCATAAATTTCGCATATTTTAGAATAATTTTAGAACAATTTGTCGAAAGAAACTACACTCAGGGTAATCGATAAATCGCATACAAAATTGATCTTAAAAATAGATCGACGCGGCTAAGTGGTTAAGGGATGAAAAAATGATCGAAAAATTGCCAACGTTTGAACTGGAGTAACTTCGTTAAAATAAATCGTACAGAGACGAATCCTCGCTCAGTTTAAAAAGCGAAGTCTTTGCTTTTTTATCCTTATTTTCATTTTATTTCGAAATGCTATTTTACTCGAATGCAAAACGAAAATGTGAGCGTACTTTGATTTCACACAGATCTTTCAGATTCAAATGTCTGCACGGAGTTTAATCAGTTTTTTTTCTGGTTTCTTTTTGTAGCGAGATTAAAGCAGAAGGTCTCCCCTTTATGACGATCATCTGAAAATTCATATACGATTTTTCGTTTCCGAGTTATCGCATTCTGAACGAGCGGATTCGTCCTTATGCGATTTTCTAAAAGCAGTTACAACAATTCAAACGTCGATTTTTCGATTAAATATCGTTAACCTCATAATTTTGCTTATGCGTGTATAAGAACATAAGAACATGATAATAACACATCGGTTTTTGATAATAACATATGCGTTTAGAAATAAGAAAGACCTTGGTAAACGACTCCGGTGTATATGCGCTGACTTTGCGACGCATCGATGGGACTTATTCAATCCTCAAAGTCATCAGTTTGGCAATAATACCGGCAAAGGTGAACGTACACATAAGAGAAACTCTAAGCATGACTGTAACGTGTCATTGCTCTATTCTGGGTCACATTTACTCAGATCTCCAAGTGACTTGGTTAGTGCAGAACAAGTCGTGGAAAGATTATGGCATCACGCTTCCTATCGCGGCTGATGTCGACCAAATCTTAAAAGTGAATCGCACACACAAGGGACTGTGGCAGTGTGTTGTGAAGCAGATGGACTTAAACTTCGTTTGGATAACAAATATGATATCTGTTAAAGGTATCTAACTATTATTAGGATATATATGTTGTATATAATTGTATATAATATAGAGAATATATATAATAATATATAATAATATATAATATATATATAGAAAGAGAGAGAGAGAGAGAAAGTATATGTTATTATCCGAAGATCTGAATTTTCTATTCGCCCCTTTCCGTACTATATTTTCTTCATAGTGACAATGATTAGAAGTTTTTCGATTGTAATAATTTCTAAGAAATAAACATATAATTTATATTTATTATGTGTCTACATTTACTTAAATTATTAGATACTGATAACAGACAATCAGAATTTTATTCAGACTAAATAGGACGGAATAGTATTCATATTTAACAGCTTATTACTAAAAATCTTCATCACGTGTCAGACTCGCTAAAGTTTGGCAAGGGATTAAGCAAATATATTGCACATGTAAATAGCTCCATCTAAAGTGGTTCATAAATAAATAATATTGGGAAGAGGGATGATTATTTATACTATTATATATACTACACAGCTGCAAAATTTTAGCAAACTTGATTTTCTAATTAACCGAAGTTTCCTTGTTACTGTAGTTCAATATGAACAACGAAAATTTAAACGTTTAATTTCTTTTTATTGTTCCAGTTCTAGAACCTCCAACTTGGCGATCACATTTAATGGAAGATGAAAAGACGGTTTTCGTTTTCCACTGGGTGCCAAACGAAAAATACATTAATATACTTACTGTAATTCTTGCATTGATGCTAACTGCATTTGTAATCGTAACTTCCTGGTTGTCTACAAGGTACGTTATGTGTAATATTTCATAAAAGGATAAGAGAGAATTTAAGGGATAATCATATGAAACCTACGGAAATAGAAGTCTATGGAAATGTCGTCATTTTTGTTCGAGACATGTAAAAATAAAGTAAAATACTATTTAGGGGGCTATTATTAGACTATTTAGCAGTGCAGCAATATTCAGATATGTATAGAGTTACCATAAAGATCATCAACGATAAAAAAATTCCTCTTCAATAAATTGCAAGAACTTCAAAACGCTTCAGAAATGTTATACACTTATAATAAATGTAACTAATAACATATAGTCCATTTAAGCATAAAACTTCAAAAGCTATTGCAGATATTTTCTATTCTTTTTAATCTTCAGAGGTTGATTCTACAACAATTTTGTCGTTCGGAAGTATCTAAAACAGAATAACTGTTCTTTAAAACTAAACGATTTGAATTTTTTTTAATGATGGAGAGGGGCTAATCTACTAGACAATTACTAGAATGCTTTTTTAAATTTTGTGATATGTCAAAAGAAAATAAAAAACTCCCATTTGTTCACTTTTTTATCTGAATGCGTAACGAAAATTTCAAAAATCCGTTTTGTAGAACTCGATAACTTATGCGCATGCCGAAAATTTCGTCGAAATCGGTTGACTTTGACCGAGGACTGTAAACAATTAAAGATCATAAAAATCGACCAATAACTATCAGAACTCTGCAGTTCTTGAAATCTTTCAACGCTTGTAGCTTGACTCTGGATTAACCGATTTCGATGAAATTTTCAGCACGCGTATAAATTACCGAGATCTACGAAAGGCATTTTTTGAATTTTCGTTCTAGGCACAGATAAGAATTGAAAAAAAGTATTTTAGTCATTGTCTGGTAGATCAGTCTTTTTATTACCTAAAAAAATTCAAGTCGTTTAGTCCCGTTTTAAAACAGTTATTTCGTCTTAAAAGGTGTCCGAATAATAATAAGAGACACTGTACGTTTTATTTTGATCGGTATTTTTCCATTGTTCTTGTTTTCAATCTATCACGGTGAATAAAGTGCAAAAGAAACATCAATATGTCTTCTATTTCTTCTAATTGATGCAGATAATTCTCATTTCGCATAACAAATCACAGTCTAATTATTAACATTCTTTACTTTTGAATAACTTCCATTTAGTTACTTATAAACGCATTAAGTATTAGAACAATTGATTTCGTACAAGTAACTTACGCAAAATATTTTTCAGACGCAAAAGAATATTATCGCCTCCGAGAAAAGATATAAGTGAAAAGAAAAATTCGACTGAATAAACTCATTGGATTAATATTTATATATCTTCTGAAGCGTTACAACGTTATATATGGTCTTAAAAAAAATTGAAAGCATACTAAATACCATTTCATCCAACTTTACCGTTGTCTTCACCTACCATAAGTAACCGAAAGTTTATTATTAAGTTTTGTTACTTGTGAAGCGCAGAAAAGTTAAGTTCTATGCCTCTGTATGAATTTTAACCGTTTAGCATGATTTTCAAAATTTCTTGAAAAAAAGTTCTGTCAAACTGCTAGCAAAAAGAATGTACAGATTCTTTTTACTTAAAACTAAAACGCTGTACACATACTATGATCTCCTATACTTTTCCAGAAATTATAATTAGTTTTATAACATATACAGTACGTTCCATTTTCAACATGACAATGCAAATTTTTTTCATTAAAAGGTTAATAAAGACAATGCCACAAATTACCAAGAATCAATTTATTTTTGTCAGAAGAATATTTCATTTGCCGGGTACAATGTATTTGACTATATCTCTTGGATGAAGTCTTGTTGTACTTTACTTTTTATATAGTACATATATGTATCAGCTATATTTCCATAGATTTTATACACATGTGGATAATATTGAATTCACTTCAGCTCCGTTGTACATATCAGAATCCACAACAGAATTTTGTACTAATTCAATATTTTACACAGCATTAAATTCGTGTCTGAATTTTCCTGAAAATGGACGTGCAGTGCTTGATATCTATGTATTCCCTGCTCTCATCTTATATTAAGCTATAAATTTTTATAACACATATTTTCTGGAAATATTTATATGCCTTTTACTAATGATTGGCCATTAAAGCATATGCATGGTGTCTCTAGAAAGTGCCGTATAGAATAGCAATTGTATATTAAAATAACAAAAGAAATAAGAGCTAAGTTGCTCAGTGTAAGTTGTTTGTGTAAAATATGCTGTTGCTAATGCTAGAGGAAATATATTTTGTATCACTATCAGATATTGCATAAACAATCTTATATGTGTTCATCTACATTGAATTTCGTACTTAATTCCCACTTTTCTCAAGACACCTTGAATATCACTATGTTTCATAATAATACTTGAGCAGGATATATGTATATAACACTTAACTTTTGTGTGTTAACACAGCGTAGCAAATAAAATATACATCTTTGGTTTTAGTTTTCCTTGCAAAATTATTTCATGCTATGGTCAATGTAATATGAAAAAATTAGTGTTACGTTCTTCTGTGTAGAAACATTTCCAATACTTAG